TATAGAGGCCGTGATTGTAGGCATAACCTGTTCCTATTACCCACCGGTGAAATTGTCTACTTTATCGCTGCCGTTGTTGTCTTGTATAACGTTGAGGACCAGATCCAAAGACATTATTTGGGACACACCGATGATATCAAGTGCCTAACTATCCATCCGAACAAGTTGTTAATAGCAACGGGACAGGTGGCCAGTCTTGACAGGTATTATATCACTATTTAACAATCAATACAAACCAATACAAATGTAGTCACAATCATAACTATTGATTTAATTTTCTCAATGCTTTCCTGTACTAAATTTGTATAATCGGAAATTGTATGATTTGTAAGTCATATTTTGTTTGAGGTTTCAATGTTTGCTATTATAGCTAAAACTTAAAATGTGTCTCATTTTGCAACTCATTGTAAAACTATTGCAGACGCGAACGCAGACCACACGTCCGTATATGGGATTCTGTGAGTTTGAATACATTGCACATAATTGGCCAAAATGGTGACTTTGACCGCAGCATTGCGTGTCTGGCCTTCTCTAAACTGGACGGCGGAAACTTGTTGTGTGTTGTGGACGAGTCGGGCGAACATTGCATCTCATTGTGGGACTGGCAGAAGACAGAGAAGGGACACAAAATTACGGAAACCAAGACCTCCTGTGATCCGGTGCTGGCCGTAGAGTTTCACCCAATGGATCGCTTTTGTCTCACGTCTATAGGCAAGGGTCACATCCACTTCTGGGACATTGAGGGCGGCTCTCTATCCAAACGGTTGGGCACTTTCGAGGTATTTATGTTTTCACTCATAAACATATTATAAATGTTTCATTTAATATCATAATTGCTTTCTTATTTGCTTTTAATAAGTTATTTAGTTTGCAAATAATTATTATATTTTATACTTTTATATTTAGAAATAACTGTATTTTTTATTTTTATCCCATTTTCTTATACCTTATTCCTGAAGCCATGAAACGAAGTTATATTTAAGTCTTTTGTAATATTTTTCTCTATTTTTAATGTTTTTTATGTAATTTAGATGAAAAGTATAGTAAAACTTGTTTTAACATTGCTTTTGATGTTGTTTTTAATGGTTCGCTTCCATTGAGAGCTCAATTTCTTTTTTCCTAATAGACTTCTGAGAGTAAAACTCTTATTTATATTACATTTTTTGTAGTTCTCACTCAAAATAATGGGAAAAACTTTTTTATATCTCTTTTTTGGTTGTGATTTTGAATTGTTGTTCACTTCAGAAACAAGAAAAGCCTAAATATGTGCTTTGTTTGGCTTATAATGATTTGGGAGAGCTATTGACCGGAGATTCCAATGGAAACATAATGGTGTGGCAGAGAAGTGCTAACCGACCTCTCAGGACAGTATTTAATGCACACGACGGCGGAGTCTTCACTATATGTGTACTCAAAGACGGAACTGTTGTCACCGGCGGTGGAAAAGACAAACGTATTGTTGAATGGGATGTCAGTCTTAACAGAACGGGAAGAGAAGCTAAGGTCGTGTTTGACATACGATTGTTTTACATATGATTCTGACATTTGTGTCTCATTAGCTTCCGGACCAATTCGGTGGAGTGCGGACTCTCACTACTGGCAAGGGATCCATGTTAATGGTTGGCACCACTAAGAATTGCATACTTCAGGGCACACTTACCCTCAATTTTTCATTAGTAGTTCAGGTAATTATTATTAAATTTTATTTTATAGACACTATTGTTATAATTTGTTACACAAATTTTAGGGACACACTGAAGACTTATGGGCATTGGCTATACATCCGACACAAAACCAATTTATAACCGCCGGTTATGACAGAAGTGTTCACTTATGGGACACATTATCCCATTCGGCCGTTTGGAGCAAAGATTTGGGCGAATCGGTGCACTCGTGTGCCTTCTCTCCCGACGGTTCGGTCGTTGTTTTCACGACAACCAGCAGTCGATGGATAGTAATCGATGCGACGACTCGTCAACTGATTTCCATGCATTCCGATGGAAACGAACAAATAGAATGCGTTAAGTTCTCACCCGACGGACGCTTCTTAGCTCTCGGTTCTCGCGATAATCATATTTATGTCTATCAAGTGAGCGAAGAGTACCGCAAATACAACCGCATCGGCCGCTGTTCCGGTCACTCGAGTTTCATTACGAGTTTGGACTTTACCACTGATGGCACTTATCTGCAGAGCTGTTCCGGTGATTACGAGCACCTCTTCTGGAACGCAACTATTTGTCGGCAACTGAACAATATGTCGATCGCTCGCGACCTCGAGTGGGAATCGCATAACTGTTCGCTCGGCTATAATATGTTAGGCATTTGGCCCGAAAACGGCGACGGAAGTGATGTCAATACATGCGATCGTTCGCATTCTGGACGCCTTTTGGCCACTGGCGACGATTTCGGCAAAGTTAATATCTATAGCTATCCCGCGTCTCAACCAAAATGTTTGAATCACTCGTATTCAGGACACAGCAGTCACGTGACAGCCGTCCGTTTTATGGCCGACGACTCGCGCATTATATCTATCGGCGGCAGAGACTCGACAATAATGCAATGGACAGTGTCTTAAGTGTGTCCCAAAAGCAGCCACTATTCACTTTATATTATATAAAACATTGTTATATTGATTTGTGTTATTCTTTTGTCTTTTTTATTTGTTTTAATATATTTTCAATCAATTATTTAATTAATTCAATATTAATTCACTGCTATTTTTAAGCCGCACTTATAACTAGAAAAATCATTACTTTCCTGTCTTTCTTTCTCATTAATATCAGATAATATATTCATTATTTAATTAAATCATTGCTTCTATTCTTCGATATAAGTTTAGATTTACTTTAACTTAACTATATTTTTATGGACTGAATTGAATGTGATTTATAAATTAGTGTTTTAAAGTTTGTGTTTAGTGTTTGACTGATTGCTGTTATCATTGTTTTCTATTATGTTTTAAATTAAATAACTTTTTATTTTGTCTTTTTTGAGCTTAACTTTTGATTCTAAATCTCTATTAACTTATTATTAAGTGAAAGAACACGTCTTAATATAAATACAAGTTTGTAATAAAAGTCTTAATTTTATGATCCAATTATGAAATACTGTAATTTAATTTCAATTTGTAATAAAACACTAAAATATAATGTACATGGTATAATTTATTCAATATTTTCTCATGATTATCAAGAGTATATAAAGGATTGAACATTTAATGTACTCTTATTGCAAGATTTCTGATTTGGTGGCACTCTATTCAAATTGATTTAATAATAGATAGTGACTATTATTTAATCGATGCAAACACAGAAAGGATCACTTCTTGTTTAGGACAACAATTATACCGTTTTTCCACTAAATAAATAGTATTTGAACCACAAGTCACCCAATTTATGCATCAATTTATCTAAATTTTTGTATATTATTGTTAAATATGTTCTACTTTTGGTTATTTATGTTCTCATTTTAATTAACATATTCCCATCTTTTCAACATATCTTAACATTTTATTTCTTGGTTTAGTTTACAATACTATCAAAAATGATTTTAAGTTTTAGATATAATATTTGTTGCATTTACACAGATATTTGCAGATATGTAATGCCGTGTAATTTTTGATATACTTAGAGAAATGGTCTGTGAGTGGGATTTGTTGGATCTGTTGATTGTTGCTGTTGTCCACCAAATAGGAGCGAAGATGTGACCGGAGATTGTGTTGGAGTAGTAGAAATCGATTCAATTCTATTAATAGGACTTAAATCAATGGATTCATGTCTTCTACCAAACCCATCATATCCTTGAATTGGTGTCGATATAGTCGTGTACTTCATATCGGCATTTGTTTCAATAAACCCAAAAGAAGTGTCTTTGAATTGGGATCCGGAAGAGGGTGAGCCGTGTAATGAGGATTGTATTTGCGGTGATATTTGTGGAGTTGTTTGTGGTCTAAAGGGTGGGATAGAAGATACAGAGTATTGACTTTTATAATCCATTGTTTGGAATATTCTTTGCGGTGATATATTTCGTCGAGGTCTAAACGGTGGTATTGATGGTACAGAATATTGACTTTTATAGTCCGATATTTGGAACAATCTTTGTGGTGATCTATTTTCTCGGCGGCCAACTCTTGTCTCAAATTGATTTTGTTGTCCAAAAGCCTGTAATTGAGTGCCTCGGGGTCTATACGGCGGTATAGACGGTATGTCACGTGAATGTTGTGCGTGAGATCTTAAAGGACTCCGAACGGGACTAATGGTATGCTTAATGGATGTGTCTCTTGGAGGGGAATCGGGCAGAAAGACATCGGAACTGATATGACTTAAGTCTATACTAAGATCACTACCAATGAAAGACGAGTCGCTAATTCTTTCACTCAATTTTAAAGCCCTATCATTTGGTTCATTGTCTGTAATGACGACCAACTGATCCCCTCTCACACCGACAAACGCTTCAGGAAAGTGCCATTCATTGTCAATATCCCCTACATATTCATCAAAAGTCCACTTTTGGTTTTGTTCTTTGTTTGCTTTCTTTTTAGTCATTTAGTAAATTATTTGATCAATGGATCAGTTCTTAAGATTCTTTGTTTCAATTTTGATGGGAAAATGATTAAACATTTTTCTTGTTTAACGATATAATTTTTATTTGAAATTATTTATTGAATCGCGAGATGATTGCCATTAAATTTTATGTTTCCATATTTTATTGTTGAAAATGTTTTACAGCTATTATTTGAAATTGAATCAACTATAAATTGATATCTAGATGTTTAATATTTATAACACATATATTTTATTAGAAACTTCAGTAACATACATACAAATTTTCATTTGTTGCTACTTTTATCTCAAACAGTATTAATCTGATATCAATTCAGAATAGAAAACAATAACTATTATATTATATTTTATATCTAATAAAATATTTTTGCACAAAAGAGCAATAAATTAAGGGCTTATACAGAGATTTTTAGCAAAATAATAACTTAAATAATAACTTTTGCATTGAATTGCATTTATTTTATTGTAATTCGAGAAATACTGATTCGTGAGCATTGAAT